ATAATGTGACTAAATAATGTGACTAAATAATGTGACTAAATAATGTGACTCAATAATGTGACTAAATAATGTGATTAAATGATGTGACTAAATAATGTGACTAAACAATGTGACTAAATAATGTGACTAAATAATGTGATTAAATGATGTGACTAAATAATGTGACTAAATAATGTGATTAAATGATGTGACTAAATAATGTGATTCAATAGTTTGACTGGACGCAGTGACTAAATACTGTGACTAAATAGTCTGAATAAAAACTGCTCATCCACTTTCAATTTGTCAGATTGTCATGCTGTCAGACTTACCTGGTGTTAGATGTTCCTGCTGTCAGACATTCATGCTGTCAGACATTCATGCTGTCAGACATTCATGCTGTTAGACATTCATGCTGTCAGACATTCATGCTGTCAGACATTCATGCAGTCCCTCACTTAAAGAGAATCACAGAAGTCCAAAACTTAAGACATATTCAGACAAGTATATTCCTACGCTGTCATAAAAAAATATAATTTATCAAACATAATATAATTGTAATATCGAAAAACATTATAAACAATAAAATCCATTGAAAGGATCTCAATTCAGTATTACTTTGAAGTACTGTGGCATTTGTTAACTCATTATCCAAAGTGCTATGTAAATTGGAATCATGGCTAGGAATTATTTGTGACGTAAAAATGCTTAATGCTCCTTTACACGCTTCTTAATTTTTGGATATGTTTTTGCTGATCTCCAGTAATTAGTGGAAAGCCAAACTCTGATCTCCAGCAAGCGGCTAGCCAAACGCTTATCTCCAGCAAGTGGGATGTTGCAAGCCAAACTCTGATCTCCAGCAAGTGGCTAGCCAAACGCTGATCTCCAACAAGTGGCAAGCCAAACGCTGATCTCCAACAAGTGGCAAGTTAAACACTGATTCGCTTACACGTCTATGCTGTTTGTATTGACGGCATTGTTCAAGTGTCAAGTATTACAATATGAAATTTATAGAGGACCTAAATACTTGTTTTCTAAATGCTTTAACTTATTATTCCTGGCTAGTTACTGCAATGCTCTCCTGGTGGGTCTTTCAGCTACGCTCCTGGAAAATATATAAAAAACACATAATAATGCGTCTTGCATAGTTCTTTACAAACGCAAATTCGACAATTCTAAAACACTTCTGAGAGAGCTGCATCTCTAAGCGCTCATGACGCATTATAAACCCACTAGAAAACTTCTACCACTCATCCGATAGTGGCAAACTCTCGATACCGCGTGTTCGCCTTGAGACTTAACGAGGGGCGCACTTTTGTATTTGCATGCCCAACAATTTGGAACATCCTTCCTGTCGCTCTCAGAAACAGCCAGGCACTGGAGTCTTTCAAACCCGATTTGAAAACACATCTATTTCGCAAACACCTGCTGGGGTGATTGTCTACCATCTTTTCCAGCTAGCTTTTATCTCCTAGATGTATATTGGCTTGTGTTGTTTATGGTTGCAGGGGATGAAAGACTTTGAATGGGTATGCTCGTAAGTCGTTTTTGTAATGCTTCGTTTTGTATTCCAAAGTGGTAAAATATAAATTGTTTCATTTCTCTTTTAATATGGTTGACTTTGTACCGCGCTTCGAGCCTTTGGGGATGAAGCGTGATTTTTAAATAAACTTTATTATTACCATTTTGTTTTATCCGTATTATTATACATCATCAATCACACGGGTCATTTTATATAAATAAATTAATGCAAACATTATTATTTTAAATTATAAATCCCAACAGGTAAATATAGCCCTAACTGTAAACTCTATTTTTCTGTTTGTATGTGTTTACCACTGTGAGAATGGGATGTCCATTTCGTTGAATGATCTTCCATATTTGACCTCACCACTCTGAGAATGTGTCATCCATTTCGTTGAATGATCTTCCATATTTGACCTCACCACTCTGAGAATGTGTCATCCATTTCGTTGAATGATCTTCCATATTTGACCTCACCACTCTGAGAATGTGTCGTCCATTTCGTTAAATGATCTTCCATATTTGACCTCA